ATACAAAAGAGTAAGACACAATAATACGGATTAAGACAATGTCATCAGTAGCTATCAAAAGCAGTCCGCGCGTCTATGTTAAGCAAACATTATAAAGCCTATTAATACAAGAAAGATTAGGTAGCAAAAAGATGCAAAAGATGAAAGTAAATGTGGAAATTAGAATAAATAATGCTATAACAAAATAACAAGCTAATATTTTTGTCTAATTCTGTGCAAAAAAAATTTACCGCAAAAACAAAATTTTCTTCATCTAATTTTATCATATATTATAACTAATAAAGTAATGAATTTTTGATTTTATTAGTTAAACAACTAATTGTAAATATTTGCCATTTTTTGTGCAAGTTTTTTTCCTTCTAGCAAACAACAACAGTTTTTTTCAGTAGCAATTTAATTTTTTGCTATTAAATATTTTCAAGTTGCACTAGAAGAAGGAATAACTAAAATTACCAATGACGACTTCATAGTTTCCATCGACAGCCTCATGAGCTCGGTAATCTACTTGTTGTGAAGCCATGTTAACATATGCCATTGCTTGATACCATTGTGGCGAATTATATTGCTGCATAAATGATGGATTAGGAGGAGACTGCCGCAAGCTTGAAGATGACCGAGGAGTTTGGCTGTCATCAAATTCCTCCAAACTAAAATTATTACTCAAGTATTTAATTTTAAGTAATTCCTAAGCTTTTTATATCATAAAAAGCAAAACCAAAAAGTTACAGATAATTATAATTTGATTTTTCTCAATTTATTTTGCCTACTCATTTGAATTTGGAAGATATCCACTGATAAGAGGACCGCTCATTTTGTTGATAGTAATATAATGATATATGTGCAAGAAATTAAAATTTATATAGACACAGTTCATTAGCAAATTAGTGCAAAATCAGTAGTTGTAGTTCGCTAATAAATTAATACAAAATTTCTACAACAAATTTGAATAAAAATAAAACCTGCGTATTGATAATTGTTTACGAATAATTTTAGATGGTTGTAGCAAATTATGAATAAAAAAAGCCATAATAAGAATTATCTGAAAATAATATCTTTTAGATTGCATTTCATTCAAATAATTACAATAAAAAATTCATTATGTTTTATTATGACAATTTTGAAGTTTTTTATTCTTTGCAATAACTAATTTCAAATAATAAATTTGTCGCATGAATTTAAAAATTTATCTGACAAGTAATACTTGCAAATTATTTTATGTGACATAAATCAATTATTAGTATACAGATGAAATCCAATTAAGTTTCCATAGATCAGTACATTTAAGGCGGAGTTGAACTGCAAGCACAGTAATACAGTACACATATACAAGCATATAATACGGAGTAGATGATGTATAGAAGAACAAATATCGAACAAACTATTTGAACTCACCAAAGATACATACCTGTTTGATGTTTACTGCTAAAATTACTCAAAAATTTTTCAAACTAAATATTATTGTAAAACACTATAATGTTCATTTTTTGATAATAAATATTAGTAAACATCATTGTTTTCATACTAATTAATACCTTTAAATATTATTATTGTTCAGTCATCCATCATTTTTATCATGTTGTGTATTTTTTTCAAGCTTATAATTATTACATTTTAATTGTTTAAAAGTAACTTTAATTTACACTGGTCAATTTTTTACTTTCAACACTGTTTTGTCACATTTTATCAGTAACAATTTGCAAATTTTTTGTCAAACACTTATTAATTTTTAAATTCCGCTTTTTATAAAATACAAAAATAATAAAAAATATGAAAAATGTAATCAATTCAATGAGAACTTTTTAATTTATATATATCAACAATTGTTTTGTTAAATTTTTAAAGCAACTATATTTCCTCCATTATTTCGTTATTCAAAACTTTTTAATCAAAGTGAAAATTAAAAAGTATGGTTTCAACAATTATTCAATTTAAGTAGTATTATTATAATTTTTTTCCAAAGCAAATATTTGTTAATTGTAAAATTTCAATTAAAACTTAAATAATCAAATAAAAATATAAAAGTGAAGTATTTGATTGAGAATGATCGTAACTTAAAATAAAACTTGAACATTTATAATATTGAGTGTATATTTCAGATTGTTTGCATAATACGGTATCTATCGCAGTAGAGATCATTGTCGTTCGAAGGATGTCATTTTGATTGGACTATATTTGATGAAAATGGCATTGGTGCAGATATTGAAGTTAATACTCAGTTGACAGTACTTAAATACCACTTGAAAATGACGCTTTGAGAGCAATCTTGTACAAAAAGTCAAACTCAGCCAAGTTAATCTAGTAAAAATTGAGCGAAAATTAGTGGATTATTCTATGAATTGTTGCAGTTGTTGCTCTTCCTTTTCCACTTGATCTCAATCAAATATTTCACTCTTATTTATCTAAGCTAGGGATCTATTCATACCAATCAAGAAGTTTTTGCAAACTGAAACAAGAGCTAGCATACAGGGTTGGTCATATCATGCTACTACTGGTTATTGCTTTTACAATGTAAGCTGATCCTTTATCTCCTCAATAATACTAATAATACCTTAGCATAAATATTTTTTATGATCCATTTTGTTTCCAACTGTGACTAATTATGTACTTATATAGTATATCAATAATACTATCATCTTTAAGGACTATTTTAATGAATTATTTATTCATTACTATACCAACAATACCAGATGCATTTCATTTCAACAATATAAATTCACTTCAAGTGCGATAAAATTATCCTGCAAATGCTTTAATGCACATTATTTCCAAAGTTCAATTACATTAATTGACCTTTAAAGAGAAAAGAAGGATTGAAGTTCATATTCATATCCCGCGAAAATTACAATCGCTGCCATTTTTAATTTTCAAGTGCTTCATTTTTTTTCTCACAATTAGATTGCAAGCAAAACAGTTATTTCAATATCCAATATGTAAATTTTTAAAGGCTACTACGTCATGTAGTGAATTGATTAAATAGATAAGAACGTATTAGAAAAAGTTACGTTTTGACTATTTATTTATGTGATAATTGATAGAGCTTGTAGTCCGTGAATTAAGACTTTAAGCAAGATTAAAAAAATGAGCCATAAATTTCTAGTTGTATAATTTAATTGTCCTCGCACTACTCAATTCAATTCAATTTCCAACACTTTTTAAAATATTGTTAAAAATACACATATTTTCATATATTATCTTAGCAAATAAAAACTTTGAATTTATTCAAATTTTATTGATATTAATTAGTGTGAATCATGCTTTCAGTATTTTTTAAAAGCTTTTTATTTAAATCATTGATCACTTCAATTGCCAGAATCAATTTAAAGCGAGAATCATTGTGAATAAAATAGATGAGAGTTGGTTGCTAAGCAAAATTCTAAGATATCTGCTTAATGCATTATTTTCCCCTGCGCGACATGTGCTTATTTGCACTCAATTTGTAGTTTTATTTATTGTAAAGTAATTATTTGTTTTATTTTTATAAATTTTTTATGTGCTTTTATGAGTTTTGATTATATTTTTTGCAAAAATATTTATCAATAACATATAAAAATAATTTTCAAAATTTGAAAAATTTATTATTAAAAAAGTGAAGTGAATAGTTAAATTATAAATATATATCGACTAAATTATTTGAAATTGTCAAAAACTTAAAAATTATGTTTTATTCTTTTTTTAGACAAAATTATCAAAATGGCTTGATATGTCGACAACTGAAGTTACATTAGCAATTACTCGTCTGAAAAGTTTTTTGAAAAATTTTGAACAAACTTCATCGCTTAAGCAGTCGGTTGATTTTGCTCGATTAACTGCAGCATATTATCTTGGCTTTCCCTTATTTACATCAAAAATACCAGGATCACTTCCTTCGCTCTATGAATGGCCAAAATCAGTAGCAGGTAATTAACTATCTAGATTCTAACATCTAGATGTGTATATTTCAATAACTTTTCAATGAAACTTAAAAGAAATTGTTAGAATTTCTCAAAATGTTATATTTTCAAGTTTGCTTAGTATAAGCAAAAAAACTATATGGATTAATAATGACTTTTTAAAGTATGGCAAAGTCCTGATGTCATATTAGTAATATTATCTACTTACTAAATATTTAAAATCCCTTAGAAATCCAACTGAATTTTATATTATTTCGTTTTAAAAATCTTTAATAATTTTATAAGTAACCATTTAGGTCATAAGCAATCCTTTCTATGAAATTTTTCAGAAATAAATTGTAATTATTTCGTAGTACTGCAACGAAATGATATTGCAAAAACTATATCAAGCGTATGTGATGAACGCTTGCCTCCTATGCTTTTATGGAGGTGTAATCATCGTATTGAAGCCATATATTACTCTGATCACTTCCGTGATTTCAAATCTCAAGCTTTGTTACGCTTCCTAGAAGAACACATATCAGGGTTGAACTTTTGGAAGATAATTTAGAAATTTTGTTTGCTGATCCATAATCAATCTTTCAATATTGTGATCGTGTTAGTAAGTGAGTGAAATGCTAAAAAGTTAACTGCAATTTAGTGATTAATAATTTGATATTCATATCAGGGAACACTGCTTTATTAATATAATTGAATTTTAATTGTATAGGATAATTTAATGTATTTGAAATGAGTATGACAGATTAATTTCATTAAACTTATTAATTATTTACATAATGTGAATGTGTATTCATGCAGCAAATATTTGTGGATAACAACAAACATTATGATGCAATAATGATTTAGCTATAAATGCAATGTATAATATTACTAAATCAACTAAGGAATACACTTTTATATTGGGACAATTTACGAAGAAATCAAAATTATAGTTAATTTCAATTTCTTTTTGAAACTATCAATAAATTTTATAGTCTTTATCTAAAAAACTTCAGTGCATATTATACTTTCAGAATAGGATTTTTGCAAGAGTTTTGTGAATCGCGAATCGATACTGCTTTTAAAGAGTTGGATAGGATTACAGAGAAGACAGATGAGGAAGTTTTGCAAAATTTACAGTTTTCATGGAATAAATTGGCAGATTCACTTCTTCAAATGGATGCAATAACAGAAACTAGCAGTGCAAAGTTGTTACACAATAAAATTTTATGCAAAATGTTCAACATTAATGCAACAATGCCTTTGTTTGTTGATTCTAGTATAGTGGTAAGTAATTAGATGAAATATTTTAATGTTTATTAACAAATTGATCAAAAATTGAAAATATTCTAAATATGGAAGCATAAGTCCCTCTTTAAGTATTAGACAGATTGAGTAATCTAAAAAATCACTGACTATATTTGCATGAAAGTGAAGTTTAATTTATGGAAATTTGTCAGCTACCACGATTGCCTGTTTATATCCGTTCGTCACATTTAAATGCTGGAATTGAGCATTCAAGTTACGCTCAGTTATGGATTCTTATTCAATCGTATGCATATTTACTATCTGCTGCAAATGTATTGCTTCCGTGTATTCAATATTTCTACTGGAGCTTCATAAAATTTAATAGTAAATATGAGGTAAGAAATCTGTATTATTCTCTTAATAAAGAAAACTAAAAATCTTGCGATAATAAAATTTACATCTAAATGTTAATTGATGAATAATTTATTAATTAATTAGTAATAATTAAAAGATTTGGTGTTCTTTTCAATTATAGAAAGAAAGAAAAGTTATATAGTAGTTATTTTTAAATTTTGAAGCTTTTTAAATAATTTTGTACTTTGTGTAATTCTATATTTGTTCAGTTCAATAAAGTCAATAATGAAATGTAAAGTAAGATGTAAACCTTTCGTGCTATAGTATTTTGACAGGAATTTTTTGAAAACAAAATGTCATGATCTACCTCTGGTAAAAACAATAATGTTCTGGATAAATGGTTTTATTAAATTCGTTCTTATCATGTTACACCTCATAACACGTGATAATGCTACAATGGAATACCGAACTCGTCTTTCTCCTAAAGTAATATGCGTTTATATTACAATAAAAAGTTTGTAAACACTGAAACATTCAAGCAACAGGTTTATTGTACATTTGCTTTTTGCCATATTTATATATTTTTCCATTTGGAAAATTAAGAAATACAGATATTTGTTTTAAATTTCAGGTAAACAATGTATTGACTAAATATTATGATTTATTGAATATACAAGAAAACTATTACGAAGACTTTTTGGCTATGTATGACTTAATAAATTTTTTATTTGTTTAACATTTTTATTCTCGATTTCCAGTTTCCATCTATCAATTTATGAATTAACTATTACAGTTATTAATTTTTAATATTTAATTATAATATTTCAAACGTCAATAGTTCTGATTTTAACTGCTGCTCACGTGCTTTATTGTGGAAACATATTTCTTAATTTTTATCAAAATATCTTTACATAAATAGGTGAGATAAATAATTTAAAAAAATTGCACATTATAAATAGCTTTCTTTCATCGATGTAATTTAAAAATTTCAGTCTAATTCTAGTATCATAAATAAAAGTTCTGTAATTTGTATTATTATTTTCAAGAATTATATTACTGCTATTTTTGTAGTTGGATGAAAAAAGCAAATTTAAATGAAATCGAACAAATCAATCATTTATTTGATTATTTGCACACATTTCGTTCACCATTTTCACATTTAAACGAATTTTGCTCCGAAAATATTACTCTTTGGCGTAATCATTTGCTTCAAGAAGTGGTTTGTTCTAATAATATATATTTTGTTTCCTTTTCAAAAATACTTAATTTAATAAAAAATAAATTGAATTTCTGACTAAAAAAAAAATATGTTGATAATCAGTATTTAGTTCATAATGTACATCTTTTATTATAGGTGCAGCAAAAAATTGAAACCAACAATGAAAAGCAACAAATAGATCAAATGAAGATACAAGTTAGGACTGCTGACTTTTTAAAATTTATCTTATGAATGATTTGAAAAGTAAAAAATATAATTTTGTCGTACAGATAATTGTAGACTAATGATGATTACGCGTTTGTTATTAATAACTGATTTAAATTTCAAGCATAAAAACTGGATAATTACAGATACCAAATAGCGCTATGGTCAAAGCAGAATACATATCACATTTCTGGTCTTATCCTACATATAATACAGACGAGCACTTGATAGCAATGAATTTAAAACTACGTCCTTCTGATTTTGTTTGTACTACAAATTGTAGTAAACAAAACAAAGCAATTTCATCCCGTAAATCAGCACATCTAACAGATTTGGATGCAAATACTTGCTGTTATTCAGTATCTGATATCACTTCACGTAATGTTCATGTAACAAATAAGCATGAAATTTTACGTAATTCTAAAATCAATCATGAGGATCCGTCAAGTATAGACAAAATAGATTTATGGGGACAACTTAATGATGCATATCAAAAAGTTAACAATTTAATTGGTGAAGTTGAGAAAGAAATTAAAGAAACTTCACGTTATGTGAGGAATTTACTTAAGAGTAAAAAAAAAGAATTTACTAAAAGTGAACAGAATTTAAGCAATATGGTAGAATATAATGTTAATAGCGTTTCTACCGATCAAAGTGTAGAATCAGATAGTACAGAAAATGGTGCTTTTATCAATAATGATCAATTTCTACTTGATTCGAATCGAGAACCTGAAAGCCATCCAGAAATCGAGAAACTAGATTTTAGTCTGTTATCACCTCAACCTTTTGTACGTAATCCATTTGTAAAAAAGGCAGAATCTGAAGTAACAATGGATTCATCATGTTCTACTAATACTCTTTCTGCACTGCCTGCATGGTTGAAATTGCTGCCAACTAAACATAAAAACTTTCTTCTATCTCTTGCACCAGATATAAACCAAATAGAAGGTTTTAGTTGCATTTATTATCTTTTATTGCATTCAAGTTTTAAATATATTGATTGAATAATTTTCTACCTAAAGCCATTGTAAATTTTCTCATTTTTAAGTTATTTTTAATATTCAAAAATAATTTTCTAATTTTTTTTTTTTAAATTTTAAGTATCAAAAATTTTGAGGAAATGCCTTTTTATACTTCTCAATAACATGTAAAAGCGAATTATGCACTCATATCTTTCATAAGAATCTCATCATATAATTGCTGCTTTATTTCGTGCTTATTTTAAGTTTCATTTCAGATTCAATAAAGAGTAGCACTGATTCAGAAGTTCAATTATTGCAAATGGAAACGCCTAAAGTGAAGCAAGAAAAAAATCAAATTCCACCTAAAGATTTGAAATTTGAATTCATTACAACAATTGCTTCAAATCCGCTGTATAATTTGTAAATTGTATTTGTTACAAACACAATGAATGTCACAAAGTTAAACATTTTTATTTCAGCCAATTTTTGTGAATACAAAAAAACTTTAGGCTTTAGGAATAGAGACTTATCATTCGTTTTTACCAATTAAATTTGAAGAATTATCCATTTATTGAACTTTGTTCTAAAAGTAGCAATGAATATTTAATTAATTAATTAATTAATTGATTTCAATTTCTTCATAAATAGTGCTAAAAAGAAATATGCGCAAATTATGTGTTGCACAAAAAAATTCTTGCTTATAGTTGTTGAACTAAACAGAATTTTCTAAATTAACAATGAAAGTAAATATTTGCCATGAATTTACGAGATTGCAGCGATAATGATAATAAAATGAGAACTACAAACATTAGAATTAAAACTTTCTGAAACTTCAACAGTTCTCCAAATCTGAAAGCGTAGAAATCATTTCGATTAGCACTCTAAAAGTTCTATCAATTATTAATGCTCTAAAATATTAAAAATTAATACTTGTACTTACAATACCAATGAGACATTCCTTTTGCACACTAATTATTTGTTTGTATTTTTTAAAGATTTAGCTGTACGGTTACTTAAATTACTGCGTTCAAAACTTAATAATTATTAAACTAAGAAAAAAAGGTCAAATGCAAAATGTAAAATATATTGCAAAATAAAAGGTGAGTCTTACAAACCAGTGTCTAAATCAATGATATTATAATACTTGTATATGTTTCTATCTTCTTCTGTAGTGACCTGATAAATTTTTTAATTTTTATGAACTTTAATGTTACTAAAAAAGTATTTAATTACAATTTAAAATTTACTCTAAGTCTGTATAAAAAGTACAATAAAATTAAAAAGTATCCTTTTAAAGATTAACTTCCCACTTGTTTCATACAGTTTTGAAATTGTAAAAGTCGATTTTATCTCAGGTAGCATAACTGTTTGCAGTAATTTTGGTAAATTTTATAATAATATAGCTATGAAATAAAAAATAAATTGCTCGCAATAACTGAGGTTGTTTTATTTTTATTTTTTTATATTAAAAATTATTTGCACGAAAGTATTAATGTGTTATCATTGCTTGAATTTCATTCAATGAATCAACTAATGATTGCTTGAATTTCCCAGCATTAGTTACAGGACAACTTTTGAATGATGATGGCGCAAAAATAATAGAGTTGGGTTGAATATTATAAGAGCAACCATAACCATCCTTAACTACAGGTCCATAACAAAGGTAAGTATCCTTGATAGAAGTACTTGTGGTGACCTGCAAAAAGACAACTATATTTTAAAGCTAAATCTTTTAAAGATTTTTTTGATTCCTAAAATCATCAATTCCTTTTAGAATTTAGATATAAGCATACTTGACTAGTCGATAATGGAAATCGCATAGTCTCTGTCCATATTGGATCTAAAAAAATTTTAGGCATTTTTGGTAATAATCCTTGTTTCACATCATCCGTGGCAAGCAGCTGAAGTGCGCATAAATGGTTATCAATACCATAACCCGTGATGTTCTGCAAAATGTTGGATACAGTACTGAATTATTCAAATTTCTTAATTTATCCCATAATTTCATTTTCCTCCAATCCATAAACTAAATATTAATACAATTCGTTATGGAAGATGAAGATTCACTTCAAGTGTAACTTCAGCTTGTTTCTTGACCGCTTGCGTAAAAAGTTCCCATTTTTCTTCCTGCAACATACTGACTAAGATATCTGAGCTGAACAATACTTCTAGTTCAGTTTTTGCTTCCAAATGAATTATCTTAAAGGAAATAAAACTTGAAGCCAAAATTGAAAGTAAAACCCGTGTTTTGCTTTCATCAAGCATAGCCTGCACCCATCGCAATGCTTCTGGTGTTGCAGCACGAATATTATCTACACGACCGCTACGAAATCGCCGAATTGACGCACTTTCATAAGTGGAAACTAAGTGTCCATACTGTCTAAATTATGTATATTCTATTCAATTTCACATGTCTCTCTTACTTTGATAATTACCTTCCACACAATGGTCTGGCATTAAAATGTGTGAAAATGAAGTTATTGTTGCAAGGTTTTTAAATAATAATGATTTACTTGCAATGCGCAATTATCTGTGTAAATCAAAACCTATAGTAAGCAAGTTGCATCGTCAATTGAACGAATCCATCTGGACTAATATTGCATGATTTGATAAATTCTTTTCCAAATCCATTAAATATTAATACTTGTAAATTTAAATCGTTAGCTAAGCTACAAAGACAAAAAATAATTTAATCAATTTTGTAATTATGACATAAATATTCTATTTCAATTTTTCACACTATCAAAACTTGAACAAAAGTTTGGAAACACAGTGTAATGTTTAAAAAGTTTATGCACATTACAGAGTAGATATTACGATAACTTTTTCAAAAGATAATACTGTCAAGACCTGAATTTATTTTTATTTCATTTATAATAGAACCTAGAAATCTTCAAGTCTCAAATTTATAAAATCCCTTCCTTAATTAAATAATATAAAACTTAATCATCAAAAACTCTAATTTGTCTTTGCAAAATGGGCATTGCATGAGGTGGAACTACCCACTGTAGCTGCATTGGTGTTATGTCATGTACTGTATCATCGCTCTGAAAATAAATTCTAATGTAAAATCTATTCATCACTAATTTTACTGTGCAATTATATGAAAACTTATTTATTTTTTCACATACTTTTTCATTAAACTCATGTTAAATTATAAAATACAAAGTTATGAACATAAATGCTATGAAATGATTGCAAATAAGCATACAAGTTTCAGTCCGCTATTACGTTTTACAAATTGCAAAGCATATTCTGCCATATTTATAATAACAATTCCTTCTGCAACCGAATGCTCAATGCATAAACCGTTTGTTCCGTTACTCGAAACAACAATCTATTTAAATATGAATTCAATGATACGAACAATTTTTTTGAAAACAAAATTTTGACCACATATATAAAAATCATTTTTATTGCTATTATTGTAAATTCTAACTTTAAAAATTTAATTTTATAATTAGTACTTGTACTGTTATATCATACCACCGATTCAAACCCATGCCTTTACTACCAAAACCATGTAACATATGCATTCCACGATGAGCTAAATTGCGCTCATAGTTTCTTGACCATTTTGTTTTGTTATGAATATCAATGCAGATACCAAATGATGCAGATCGAATCCATTTTAAAGATTCTTGATTTTGTTCAACTAAAAATATCAAGTTAAATGCGCAAATTTTGATTGAAAAGAATTCAAAAACTGAAAGTAGCAAAAATTGTTTATACAAAATAATTTATGCAAATAAAAGAGAATTTGAGTGTAAATTTTTCAATAATTTGCAATTATTAAAATACTTTCGTCAGTAAGCAAAACCTTCATTCATAATATTCCAAAATTTAGCTGCATCATCTCGATCACCAACACTTCCTCCAGCTATTGGTATGAGATTTGTGTCATTTTGAATTTTGCTCATCTCCACCACTTTTTCTAATTGTTTTGCTATTTGAGCTTGTGACAATAAAGTGCCAGACAATCGTGTAAGCACAATAAATGTCTACATATGACTGCATTAGATTCTTTTCGATTGTAAATGATTGAATCAAATTATTTAATAAATTTGATTGACAATTAAATATTTCTATAATCAATCCATGCACAAAGTATATTTAAAAATAAAACTAATTGAAAAATGGAACTAATTAATTTTTAATTAATTAAGTTGCATCAAATAACTATTACATGCGTTAACCAGATCAAAATCAAAGCTTATTATTCTGTTCCAGTTACTATTGAATCAGAAGAAGTCAAACTAATAAAAAGTCAAACTAATTACATTACTTAATATAAAGCAGTTACCATTTGTAAAGTTAAACTGTTCCTTAAATAATTTATTAATTTGTATTTATTGTTTTTATGCATATTTATGATAATGTACAAAATAGTGGTAAATATTTGTATCAATTTCTAACTTTATTAGTTGAAAAAAGAATGTCTATGTTTTTCTTGAAAAATTTTCTTAGTTATTTTATAAAAAGTTATATTTTAATAAATTCACCTTATTGTTACACATTGCGAGGATGTGCTCATCCCAATCACTATTTTCAGCATTTATCTCATTAGGCTTATAATGTTGAATATCTATTGGACTGCTTGGCTCACGATAACATCGTAAAATCCGATCGTATTGTTCCATACACATGAAAACTTTGTGACGTCCCGTTGAAATTTCTCGAGTTATTAATTTTCTATAAGTTTTCCAATAAACATGAAAAATACTTTTTCTTGAATATATTTTAATGCTATAGAAATCAGTATGAAACTCATTTGCAATATAATTTAAAAACCTTAGATTTTACAAGTTGCAATTATTAATTATTTGTAAACAATAATAATTTTACTTGTTAATAAAGGAAGAAAAGAATATTTAATATAATATTACTTTTCATGTAGCAGAAGTTTTGAATAAATACTAAAATTTAAGTAATGTCAAAGTGGAAAATAAACGTATTAAACCACAGAAAATTGCTCCAGTAATTGCTTAAATGACTGATTATTTGGAAAAACTTTTTAAAACAAATTTTGTAGACTTTTAAAAAAATCGACATTACTCGCTAATTTTAACATGTTTTGATGATTATTTATGAGTATTATTTCGTCTGTAGTATTACACGCGTATCAATTATTTAAATAAAATAATTAATATTGCCCGTACCTGTCAATTAAATCCTTATAATTACAGAATCCGCAAATAAGCCAAGATGCATAACTGAAACAAAAACAAAAAAAATGTATTAAAATCTATAAACTTTCGTTTGAAATTTCCAAATTTCTCCAGATTTCTATTTTTTAATTTATTAAAATCATTTTAATCTACCTTATCTGCTCATTTATATCATTAAAATTTTGTTGTGGAAAGATATATGCTGGACTGGAATTCAACGGAAGTGGAAGTCTCACTTTTAAATACATTTCTGGTAACCAAAATTGATTGATCTGAAAGATAATTATTTTTTCAATTTGTAGAATAAATGCTATTTTTTACATTACTTTTGAAAGTTTATCTAGAATAAAAATTATTTTGTTTCAGGAAGCAAAAAAAAAAAAAAAGATTTATTTAGAAGCATAAAACATAAGCTTATTCTATTTGACAAAAATTTTTCCTGTAACAAACCCAATTATCTTCTTCATTTGCAATTTTTTCAAGTTTTTTTTGTATACTAGTGCCGTACTGTAGAAATTCGGATATTGCTTTTTTTGTATACAATAATTTATCAGGATCATTGCGAGCTACCACCGATGCATATTCTTGATAACGCTTCAATGTATGTTCCAGTGAAGGCAACGGTGGTTTAGGAATTGGCTTCTGTGCAATATTTTGATATCAAAAATAGTATCGAATTTTATTTCTTATTAAATTTTGAAAAATGAATATTGATAAATTTAATTGCTAAAACAAATTTTTGATGCAAACTTTTTACTTTAATAGTAATTGCAACAGTGCTACTTTTATCTGAGAAAAATGTTTGTGTACGACTTCTATAGCATCTCGTTAAGCTTACTAATGACAGTTACCTTCAATATGTACCACATATATACTCTTTATTTGTCTTAAAATTTTTTGAAATAAAATAAAGTATTTGAACTTACTTTTGTATCATAAAAATGATTGATAGTTGATATTTGCTTGCAATTGGTATGATTGTATAAGAGTTTAAAAAGATTGTAAGAATAGAAAAATGTGTAATACTTATATAGCTGAACTTTTAATGATAACATCTATCACTATAGTATAGACTTAATTCTTGTGAAAACTATCTAGAAATTACTTGTATTAGATCGAAATTGATCTTAATTTTCTATCTGCCCTTTACCTTGCATTTTATTTATTCAAATATTTTAAATATAAATGAAGTGCGAAAAAATTTTATGAATCGAAAATTTAGAAATATTTGAATTTAAAAAATATCATACAAATATATAGATTCTTAAATTGCATAATTTTATGATTACATCTCTTTGCTACTTGATTTAAAAATGAAATTAAAAAATGTGATCTTAACAGTTAAGAATTATATTAAACCTGCAAATGAAAAATTGCAAAGTTGGAAATTTTCAACATTTTGATATTCAAATAAACATTAGACTAAAACTGAATGATAAAATAAATTCCATAAAAATGGGGCTTCAATATTAGCAAAAAGAAGCATCAAATAAATAAATTTCATCTGTATTTCATTTTACAAACTTTCATTACTAAGAAAATCAGTTCTGCGAATCATTTTCTTATTGTTCCCATGGGTGATCCATCATTAACATTATTTTCTTCATTTAAAGCAAATTTTAATGAGAAATTTGCTTGCTATATCAGATTGCATAATTTTATTTAAATTTAGAAAATAATTAGACACTATAAGATCTTATCAATTTTTTGATAAATATAAAAACTATTAGTAAGCATAAGTATTAAATAATATCTGTCTTTCTAAACACAAAATAGAATCTATTTAAACTTATTTATATTATTTATAATGTTTAGCAAGCAAACAACAAAACTAATTCTTCTTTGTTCACTGGCATTCTTATTTTTGCGTGAAAATTCAATTGTAATTTGTCGATTCATTTAGTGAAAAATATACTTTTTGATTTACTTTAGTTCAAAATTAGTGAATATATGCAAATCTTTATTTAATCTGTTTGTTAAATGAAGTTAAAAATTTTGCTTTCTGAAAATAAAATTTGATATACAATCACTAATTTTATATGGAAACTTTTGCAAATGCTGTTATTCGATTATAAAAAATCATTCAGGGATTAATTATTGGTGGAAACAAAATAAATTTAATCCTATCAATACAAAAAATTTTCAAACATAAACAAAAACAACGTGACATAAATATTATTTTCATAAGTAAGCTGGAGAAAGTGAAAAGTTTACTTTCACTTTCCAATTTTGCTTATACTAATTAGCTTTGAATTTCATACTATGATAGATGGATCTTATTAATTTTAACTTTTCATATTACAGTAATTTTACACTAATGGTAAATTGTTTTTCTTTCGATTGACCTTCGTATACAAATTTTCAACTCATTGCATTTTAATCAAATTTTCCGATTTAATAGTCTTAGTAGTCTGTAACGTTAATGCATGCAATAGAAACTGCTCCGAATAACTTCTAAACTACTGAAAAAAATAAGCTAAAAAAGCAAAAGCAAAATAGCAAGAAGCAAAAATGAAAAATTAAGACATACACAACAACTGACCTCATACCATTCACTTGACAAATTCTGATTATTAATAACGCATATTGCATCTCCCATAACCGACCAGTACTGCAACTTGTTAGTATTTAATAATTATGCAAAAAAATTTTTTCTGTTTCGTTAATAAAAAGACATAGTCCATCTTTCGAATCAATATTAAAAATTTTAAACTTTATAAAACTTATCACTCCAACTTGGTGCTATAATTTTATAAAGCATAACTTTTTTTACTTGACAAAAAAATAGCTAATTAACTTTTTTTTTGCAGTAATTTTTGAGTAATTATTTGCTTTCAGTTCTTCTTGATTTTCACTTCCCTACCTTCAATTACTTTTTAAATTTAAATCATAAAATTTGGTGGGAATCTTTTTTTTTTGTTTTTGATTTTACAAATGCTACAAATCTCAATGAAAATAAATGAAAAAAATTTCAATTTTTATTCTTCAAATATTTAACACAGTTTTGTTGAGTAAAGATTGAATTTTCAGAATTTCAACGATATCAAATTAGATGAAAATCATAATCCCGAGGGTGTTCAATCCCCATTAAGCAAAGCATGTTTTTTTTTTTGAGCTAGGCGAATACTTTTCAACCATTGACATGACATTTTTGCTTACACAAATAAAGAACAAGATCGCTTGTTAATTAGGCAGTCATCAAATTTATCATCATATATTTGTCGGATATTTATGCATTGAGTTATAGAATCCTCCCAGCGAATCGTGTTATTTTTTTTCCATTTTTCGATTTAAAAAAAAATAATGATTCTATTCCATGCTAAAGCTTATCATTTTAGCCATTTTTCTCTTCTAACAAACACTGATTTTTGTCAAAAATCTTTACAATCTTATTTTTGGGATAAATGAATTAGCATAATCTAGTTAATAGCTCACTACATATAAAAAGACAAAAATTTGCTCTTATTTTTGTTTCTTGCCCAGTATCTTATCAAAATTTTAGGATTTTTTAATCAAAATACAAGTAAAACTGTTAGTTTAACGAAGTACTGGATGTAATTAAATAACTTATTCTTAGCATCCAAAATATCTAAAAAATATTTTATCACTTACAAGCTCTATAAATATAAAAAAATTTTCAAAAAATGTCTTAACAACAAAATCAAGTTAACATGGAACAGTGAACTTTGATAATATTCAAGTTTCAAAGGTCCATAAATTTTTAAAAATATTTGCACTATAATAAGCAAAGAACACAATTTTTCAGTCTTTTATATATTGTACAAAAAATAGTCTAATTTAAAATAAAACTCTATTTTGCAATATGGAGATAACAGACCTCACTCACGTTTGAGAGCATTAATAGAATGCTTTTGAATTGTGAAAATGAATTCAAATCTATTTCAATGCTATAATATTGAACATTTCACACTTTAAATATTAATGTTATCAATGATTCATTAAATAAATCTTCAGAAAGTTCAACAAAACTAAACTGAAATTTGGAGTTCTTGAACAACGACGTATTAGCTAATTTTAGCAATCAAAAATGTGCATTAAACAAACTTGTGATTCGCGAAGTTTTTAATTTCAATTTGAAAACTATTGTGTATAATGTGCTCTTGAAGTTATCGGTTGTTAAAGTGAAGTTGATGGTAAGTCTGACTTTAATCAGACACTGACTTAATATTTTTATACTCTTTTCAGATATTTCAAGCAAATTTTATATGACTATTTTATAATAAAGTTGACACAAGATTATTAACAAAATTTAAATGAATAAGTATAAATAAGAATGCATATATTTTACGAAAGCTGTAGATTCTGAACAACTTTAACTAGCTAATGTCTGTTACATTATTTAACTAATACTTCTGCAATTTTCTGAATTCTGGCAGAAATGGTACATTCTAGTGAACGAACAAAATCAAAACAAACATCTAACACTACGGCACATTATCATTTACAAGAAGAGATGGAAATGAGATATCACATATTAAAAAATAAAAAGAAAATAAAATTCTAAACTACTATGGCAAATTTTTTAGAGCTATCCGTAACTTGATGAGAAAAGTGGCAATTGTATCAGCAGCATCAAATAATGATGACAATTATTATACAACAGTAGCAGGAATGTGTAATGAAGTAATATTTTCGTATTTAATCTATAGACTGTGAGTTTTCTGTCACCACTGAACATTAAAAGGATCCTGTGGATTATAACCAGCTGGATATTCGACATGTGAATCCAAAGTACTTTCTGTTGCATCATGTTGTTGTTGGATGGCTCCATAACTTTGATGTTGTGATGTATCGAGGGTTTTGCCAAGAGCAGTATTATCTTCAGAATTCTTACTAGCATCAAGTAATACCTGTTGCTGTTTTGGTTTTTCTTCAAATGACTGATATAAGTAAACCTGTCTTAAAAGCGATAGCACAGGAGAATAAGCCAAATTCAGCACACAAATAATAATGTTTAAAGCAAAAAAGCTCAAGATAGAAACAATTTCTCCTGCAATTATAGGTCCGAAAGCATAAGCTAAACTGTAAGAAATATCAGCAATTGCGTATACACTTCCATAAACACTGACGTGACGCGTATCAACCAAGTAACCAAGCATTGGAAGCAGTGATGTGTCAATAAGTGCGATTCCAAAGCAAAGTGTTGATAAAGGTAAGATTAATTGCAGAATAGATGTGGTAAATGGTATAACGAAACAACTTATGCCTTCCATGGATAAGCCAATAGCTGCAAAAAGCCATTCTTTTTGCGGAAAACGACGCATGAGACGTACAGTAACATAAACTCCCAGAACATGTGGGAAAAATGGTGGAAACCATATGATACCAACCATCCACGGAGGAGTATTAGGAATTGCGCTTGATATCCAAGTAGTAATTGTTGGTTCTAAGAAAGCCAAACTTATATTAGCCATTATTAGGGCACCAGAACAAATAGCAATGTATTTATCTTGAAATAAACGCCACATTGGTGTACCCTGAAGTCTTTCACCAACTGTATTCATCGTTTTATTAGCGCTTTTTGGCTGAATGACCATGAAAACCATGCATCCATCAAACAGACATATCATGGATAAGATGAGAAATGGTATCGGCTTTCCAGCTAATGAGTATAACACTGAACCATAAGGTGGTGCCACTAACGAACCAAATGATATGAAGGCTAAAGCAATACCCAAAGCTGCAGATCTTTCATGCTCTTCAGTGAAACGGTCTGCAATCATTGCTAAACCAGAAGTATCAGCAAATGCTGAACCAAAACCCTGAAATAGATTATAATTAATTCTTTGAATAAAACTCAAAGCAAAGTTCCTTAATTGATTTGAACATCAATAAAACTATACTTCAATTTTAACTGTTAAATAAAAATGTATCCTTAGATTTTATGATATAAAATTGCGCAAAAATTTTGACAATAACTTACTTGAAGTGATCTAGCAAAAAATAGAATGCCGTAACTTCGGCCTAACGCAAAAATAGCTGTTGAACTGAACATTACGCATAAACCGATAACCATTGGGAATTCATATCCAATACGATCAATAATATATCCAGAAAATGGATTTACAAAAATTTGTATCAATGCTTTTGATGCAAACAGCCATCCTAATCCGATTTCTTCATTTAAATAATCGATTTGACCACCGGTCATGCGAACAATAACAGTACCATTTGTTAGCTTTTTGGTTTCATTATGATACCCAACAAACTGCACATCATATGCATGAATATCTCGAAGATATTTTGGAATTATTGGAACAATTACCATATATAGCATATTATCGAGCAATAAAGCAATAGACACAATAATAAGTACAAGTTTTTTTTGCATTTGAGGCTCTTTGATTCGTTGATCTAACCATTCTCGACACCAATCGCTATCACGATCAATAATAGGTACTTTGAAACCCATATTTTTGTTCTACTTTTTCTTCTTTTTTGCTTCAGTAAAGCTAGAAGTTCAATAAGCAGTAAGAAAATAACAGCTAAAATTGATTTGAACTTGATAGAAATCGTTTTTAAAAACTGAATACATCTTCAAGGAATTGTTCCCATATGAATTAGCAGATTGTGTATTGCAAAACCACAATCAATTATTATACATACATAGGATGAATAAATAGACGATATTCATTGCATTTTTACATCAGCTCAATCTTCTTTCTACTTCTCGTCATTTAATTTTCTACTGCGTATTTACTTTCAATAGAGGCGGGATTGGGATGGATTTTTACTGAAATTGTAGATGCAAAAATAGGCGTGTGTGTGATTGCTAGAAACTCCCATCTCTCCTGGGATGTATAATACTCTCATGTAAACAGGATTTTTATCTTTCTTTCTGCTTCTTACTGATACAAAATTTTATTTTTAACTAAATTTTTTCATTCATTTATTGAAATCAAAAGTTATTACAAAAAGTTAATAAATTTTTGAATGTATACCAGTAATACTGTTTGTATCGAAATCCAATCACCAAACTTTGCTTCGCTCTTTTAGCACAAAGTTTTTGCTTTCTCATTCATCCCTAAAATACTTTCTTATCATTATGCATTTGTGACTTAAGTTTAATGACAAATTTATCTCCTGTTTGTCATACGAAACTGTATATCTAAAAAAAATTATTGCTCAAATCTTATAATTAACAAATTCATTTATTATTATTATTATTATTATTATTGACTGTAAAAAATATCATTTAGAGCTTACATATAAGCATGTAAACATTAATAAGTACTGAGAAATACAAACAAAACCAGTCAAGTTGCAAATCATCAACACTAATTATGATTTCAGTCAGATATGAAGAAATTCAAGTTTATTTTAACTGAAAATTCTTAATCATTTTTAATAAATTGATTTTTAAATTGAATATTTATGGATAATCAAGCAAATCTGCATTTTCCACTTATAAACTAATTTATATTAAAATCATCTAAAAAATATTTATACAAAGATCTAAAAAGAAGTGCATAAAACTTCATATTGAAAAAATCAGTCGCAAAGACAAACAAGAGTAAAGATTTTTATTTTATTTTATTTTCAACTTTTACATATTTGGTAATTTCATACAAAAAATATTATAAAAGAGAAATGTTACAAAAAATTTCAAAACGTGAATAAAGAAGGCACTTTTTTCAAGTATTAAAGCACATAAGTGTTAACTTTTTGTTGGAAGGAAAATCAGTTAGGTTTGGTGCTAGTTTATGTGCAATTGAAAAATGCAAATCTAGAGATAGGCTTATACTACCCAATTCAAAATTAAATTCGTGTAAATTGAAAAATAAAGAATGACTTGAATATTTATCAAAAATCATTGCATCAAAAATATTTTGCATAGTAAACTTTTCAAGACCAAGAAATTGTTTTAGAAGTAAAAACTTGGTACAGTTCTAATTTTTTTCCAAAAATTATCTCTTTATTTAATATTAGAATATATAACCCTTGAGAAGTAGGGTACAGCTTAGTGAATATTTATTATAAATAAAGAAATTACTTTGCAAGTTTTAAAGCATAATAAAGCTATCATCTGCATTATGTAGTACATATTTTCAAATTATACTTGGAATATTTCTATTTTTTCGAGATTCGTACAGGATAGGAGGCAATAATTCACTAGTTCAAAATACTGATTATTAACTACCAAAATAACAAAGTTATTCAAAATTTTACTGCTTATGAATGAGATGTATAACTTTTTTATCATTTTATTAGAAATTTAAAGATTTATTTAATTGAAGTTCCATTAAGCGCTTAAAATATTTAAGACGATTTGTGAATTTTTTGAAATAAACTTTGTCAATATTTAAGTAAAATTTTGCTCATATTAAATAATACTGATAACTACTGACCTTGTGACAGAATCACTTGCTTAGATGGTGAAATAATAATATAATTAAAATAATGAATGGAAACTTTGTTTCAGATCAAGAACAACAAACAAGTAATGGAAAGAAAAATTATTAATCTAACAATAGAACGACAAATGAATAACCAAGTCATTGACCAAATATTAACTTCAGATAATGTATTTTTGCAATTCTGAGCGTTTTAAGTAATTGATAACATTAAATTAATAAATAAAACGAGCTTAAGTCACAATAAATAACGAATATAGAAAAAAATAAATTAAAAACAATATTGCACAAAATTTTCGAAAAACTATGACTTGGGCATTTTAAATTGAGTATTCAGTAAATTCGATTTTCAACAACAGAAATCCTAGTTTACTAATTTTATTTAAAACCTGTATAAATTTTTTGATTTCCATTAATAATGCTTTGTACAAATTTCAGTGAATTTTTCCTCCACACAAAACGAGAACTACTTTTCTTGTAAATAAATTAAAACGATAAAAAAAAGGATAATTTATTGACAATGAAACATATATAACAATCTGTAATAACAAATTTAAAAAAATTAACCTTTAAGTAATTTTTTGTTCAGTAATGTATTTAGCAGTATTTTGTTTGATTTGGTCCCAAGTTGTCTACATTAAATTTTAAAATCATAGCTTGATTTATTCTGAAAAGTAAATCCTTTTTATAAAATTAATAAATAACAAGTATACATCAAGTACAAATATTGTAATTATACTTTATTTAATATTGTTTTTTAAAATTTCATGAATCTTGGCTGATAAGATTGACTCATAAATTTTTCAGAATAAATCAGCTTTAATTTGAAACAACGGAAACAAAGCAAAGTACTGGCTTTTGTTCTTCATATATATGTATTACACATTAACCGAAATATTGTTGTAAAAAAACTGACGTCTAAGCAATCAGTTCGTTCCATAGACAAGAATGGAATGTCAAATACTACTGAATATTTGAACAGTATTACATATATATGAAGAAGTTTTTTCGATATAAAATCAAATTTTTAGATAAAAAAGATCATTATTATTTGCTCATAATGAGTGTTGCTTTCATTGTTTATATTGTTACTTAATGCAAATTAAGTAGGCATTTTATTCTTGGGAACTTTTCAATCGTACTACATTTTTTTTTTTTGATATTCATAACTCTTAATTTTAAAAATTAAATTTTGTGACAATATTAAAATTGCTTGAATAATGAATATAACACTTTTAAAATGTAACTTTAGGAAAAAAAGGAACAAAATTCCTATATTCAAGTATTTGGAAATAAAAAACGATTAATTATAAAATTCAGATCTATTTTAGATTTCATTTCGTTTTCACACATAAATTTTTAGCTTAACAAAAATATTAAACAGAAATAAATTTCTTTCTGTTTTTTAATTTAATTATTATTTATTCATATTTGCATTGCAACCACAATACATTAATCATAACAGATAAAATTTTGATAATGATAAATTGTTGTATGTATAAATATTTATGAATGATTTTCTTAGTTTGCAACAAGCATTTTTCATCCGTTCAAAAACAGTATTTACTTTGTTCTGATTTCTTCACTGATTTCTTAAAAAATTCAGATGTTTATTTTGTATTACTATTCGACAATTGTTCATTTTGCTACTAAAATAAATAATTTTTTAATATTTGTTCTCAATTAAATTCTGTATTAATTTTTTATTTGATTAAAAATTTCTCTTCGAAAAGCTAAATGTTTTGATATCCTAAAATTTACATCATATTTAGATGAGAGTTTAAATCATTAAATGAAAAATAGAGATTTGAGCAAGAAGTTATTGAAGAGATATAAAAATTTTGAACTGAACTCAGCAAACAATTCAAAACAATTTGTAAAATTTTATGTAGTATGGTACTAAAGATACTTTATTTGCAAAATTCTAGCACATAAATTTTTATAAGGATACTTTATAAAAACGTTCATACCAAGAAACTGCATAATTGACAGAATTTATTTTAAGTTATTTTGTATTAAGGTCTGAATTTCTTTCTTAAAAAATGAAATTTATTTCCAAAATTTAAAATATAAGAAACGATTCAAGACAGATTAGTAATATTTAATGATTTATATCGAAATTAAGTTGATGTAGATAGAATAAATGTAGATATACAGTAAATTGAAGTATGCAATTTATTTTCAGCAGCTTGTACGGATATTGTGGACTAGGCGCATTACATAAAGTTAGCATGAAAAATTAGCTAGCTTAATTATTAAACTACAAAATTTTTGAAGTGACATCATTCAGTCTTATATTCAGAAATCTTTTATTACTTTTCGAAATTTTCTGCCTATCTAAAAGAAGTTAATATTCTATGCTGCACTTCATGTGAAAAGTTCTATTTTTATCATACAGTTCAGCTAGGCAAGAGCTTTTTTCATAGAAAATTGCTTAAATAATACATATGTAATTTTTAAATGCAAAAACTATAAATAAGATAAGAATAAAAGAATACGAGGCGAAAACTTTCAAACAAATGCGAATCTAAGTTTCAGAATTTAAGATAATTCAATTTTTGCTATAAAACCATGTTTGAGAAGTTGAAATTGTCTCAGTTCTGAAAAAATATTTTAAAAAAATATGATTTTACAATTTTTTTTAAAGCTTGTTTTGTATGTAGTGAGTAATTTAAGAATAATCTAATATTAAATATTTGATTGCCATTACATGATAGTAGCAATAAATTGCTGCTACACTGCTGATTCAAGGAACTTTGATAACAGCAAAACGATAAATAAATTTATATGAGAACTGATTTATGATTAGTAATTTATTTGAAGCTGAACGTCAAGTTAGTTTGTAGCTTGTTAGTAGTTTATAATATTATAGAAAGATGAAAAGAATCTCAAGCAATAAGTAATTAATGATTACACAATAAATTGCAGGTTTAAAAGAACCCATAAACATAAAATCAGTCACACAAAAAATTATCATTAATTTATTTTTTATATGGAATTTAATTTTTAAAATAATACAAGGATTTAAAATTTATAAATCTTTCTAATCATCTTTGTC